GAGCTCCTCGCATTAAAACCCGACGCGGCCTGGAGCTGCGGGCATGACGGGCTGCCCGTGGCCCAGCCCCGGCTGTCCCTGGCCACTGCAGCCCATGCCCCGGCACCTCGAGCCCCCTATTTCCCAGGGGGGCCGGAGGATCAGGCCAGCACCGGGCTGTGCCGGGAGCCGTGGGCCTGCCCGCCGGCCCCTGCACGAGGTGCCCGAGCTGGGGGGCAGTGCCCCCAGCCCCTTCTCCATGTGCCCGGGGACGGGCTCCCTCTGGGCTGCCCCCAGCCCGGGACCCGGCTACAGCCCCAGCTTGCCCAGGGCCCCATGAGGAGCAAGGCCCAGCACCCGTCTCCAGCACCACGCGGCGTGGCGGGCACTTGCTGCAGCAGGGGCGGCTGCCAGAGTCTGACCCAGTTTCGGAGGCTGAGAGACGGGCACCGTGGCAGCCCCCACCCGGAGCTCTCACCACAGCCACCCAGCCAGGATGGGCCTGCAGGCGCAGCCACCTCCTGCCTCAGTTTCCCCTGCTGACAACAGTGACCTACTTATGGGGCTACTTGTGGGGGTAGTGCCCGGGTCTGGATGCCCGGCCAGGCGGGCCCCGTCATGCTGCCCCCAGCCCGCGGGGTCGTGGCGGGGGGAGAGGAGCTAATGCACAAAGGGAAAGCCAGCAGGGTGCAGAGCACGCTGGGCAGGGGGCAGTGCACGCTGCATGCCTGCCTGCATCACCGCTGCCGCTCCCAGCAGCACGCCAGGTGTAACCTGGCACCAGACCCATTTCACAGGGGGTGCAACTGAGGCACAGAGGCTCAGGGAATGCACGGCGTGGGCTTCCTGCATCCCAGCCTGGGGACGGGGCAAAGCCATACCCCCCCCCCATGCAAAGGGACCAGATCCCCCACTTCCTTGCCAAATCCAGGGGCTCCTGGCACAGGGCGCAGAGGAGGTGGCTTGAACCCCCTCCGGGTCCTGCTGCAGCTGCAGCGAGCTCGGCCAGGCCCCGGGGCCACTCGCGCCTCATCTGAGACCCCCGGCCGGGGAGCGGCAGGCGGAGGGAGGGGAAATGCCCCCCGTCCTCCTGCCCGCAGCCCCAGGGCCTGCAGCCGGGCCCCCCCAACAAGAGCTGCTTTGGGCGGAAGGGGAGCGAACACCAACGCTGCCGCAGCCCACAGCTTGCCCCACGGCACACGGCTGCCCCTGCTTGCACACGCACTGGCATGGCACTCTTGCACACGCACACACACCTGCTGCTGCTGCCTCTTGCCTAATTTTGCAAGGGATGGGGGGGGGGGGGGGGC